AATTGCAGCCTTAGCTCTCCGGTACAACCGTCTCCTCCAAAGACTTGTTTTCAGAGGGGACGAGATCGATGGTGACAATCTCAAAGTTACCCTCTCAATTGCAGTTGGAAGGGAAAAAATACGCCCCGAACGATAATTTGAGAACCCCTCAAAGTGCCTTCCCTTAACGAATGGCACCGAATGGCAGTCCTTTGCGGGCCAGGTGCTCCCACGTTGGCTCGCAGCCCAGAAATCGAATCGGTGGGAGAACCACTGCCAAGGTTCTGCAAACAGCGAAACGCTTTGAGCGCCCAAAATCGATTCGCATTGGCCGTTAGCCTTTCCTCCAATGGAAGCTGACAGGGGGGTTTTGAAGACTACTGTGCTTCTGGGCGGCGGTTCTACTGGTTGAATATGCATTACAACGAGGATCCAGATCTTCTCGATGGTCAAAGTCATTGTTTTTGGCGCCAGCGGACCGCAAGGAATGCCAAAGTTGGACATGTGCGGTGGAAGACCCATGTGGTAGAAGCCCCGTGTGGGTCTTCCATTTGCTCGAGAGCATTGTTTTTTCCCGTTTGGTTGCATGATATGGGTTATGACTGACTGATGTGGCGTTCCAACTGTTTATCTTTGTTGAGTGCCATCTTAAGAAAACGGGGGGATCTTGTGCCATGTGACAAAGGTTGAATTTTTTGTATTTGCCTCACACAAGATGGAGGTGGTTCGCAAGCACCAGGGCAGAGCTGGTTAACCCTTAGTTGGTGAGTGTCTTTCGATGGGTGGTTTGGGAGGTGTGAAAAATGCCCTTGGCTCGTTGGTTTCATGCGTGCCAAGGCAAAAAGACTTGCTTTCGTATTTGGATTTGTTTCGGGCGGTTATGGAGGGTTTACAAAACCAATGTAAAGGTTTGGTTCATATTGCAGGAGCCAAGTCCATGACCCAGACAAGGAGTGTTGACCATGGCAAATATGAGCAGCACACACAATATTTGCCTGTCGATGTTGGGTTGTCTTTTATCGGGTAGGTGGTAATATTGTCTATGAATGGGGGGGCGTCTTAAAATCGGGAAATGCTTGGTTTCCTTGGTGTTTCCCTTTACCACTCCCGAACGTGGTACCGTCAACAACGACATCCATCCTTCGATTCAACTCCCGCTGGCGTTCAGGAGGTGCCGGTGGCTCTCGGATCAGGCGCGGTTGGGCTCTTAGTTGCCGCAATGAAACCATGGACTAAAGACGCCCCAGTCTGAGCCATCTGGTTGTTTGATGAAAGGGAAACCCACTGCCCGGGAATAGGTAGACAGATCTCGAGATCTGGATAGATAGATAAATAGATCCTGATAGATCGACGCACAGACAGATAGGCAGGCAGGTAGATAGATAGATTGATATCAATGTAGATATATAGTTAGGTAGATTTACTGACAGATGGCTAACTATGATAGATTGACAAGCAGATATCCATAGAGAGACAATTTGGTAGAAAGATTAGACACTTAGATGGACAGATAGACAGATGGATAGACAAGTAGTTAGGTGGGTCGAAAGGTTAGGAGATAGCTAGATAGAGTCTTAGAGACATCTTTTTAGCTAGATAGATAAATCAATGGCTTGCCACATGTTAATTGGATAGAAGGCAGATAGATAGACAGACAGATAGATAGATAGATAGATAAGTAGGTAGATAGATAGAGACAATAGCTTCATTGGTAGATAGATCGATCGATCCATCGATCGATCCATCGATCGGTAGACAGACAGACAGACAGACAGACAGACAGACAGACAGACAGACAGACAGACAGACAGACAGACAGACAGACAGACAGACAGACAGACAGACAGAGACAGACAGACAGACAGACAGACAGACAGACAGACAGACAGATGGAAGATCAAACGCATACAGATAGATAGATAGATAGATAGACAGATAGATAGATAGATAGATAGATAGCTGGCTAGCCAGCTAGCTAGCTAGATGGATAGCCAGGTGGATGGATGGAGGTAGACGGATAGCTGGCCCTGGACATACTTTCTTATTTTTTCCAGGAGGATTAAGCAAATTGAAGAGGATCCATGGGTGGTCAAAATTATACCAGGAATTGGAGCCCAGGCTGGCCATGTTTCCATTTACCAAGGTTCCGTTTTCCCACTTGGCCATGGGTCAAAAGCCCGTACCCCCAGTGAACATCCCAATCCCCACCAAAATAGACTACAATGGGTGGTGCACCTAGCACAAAATGATACCATTGGTTTTGAGCCACAGCCACTTTGTGATGAATCGATGTGGACCTGTTGCCAGGCGCTCTGGGCTCCTCGGCTCTGGGCTCCTCGGCGCTGGCGTTTTCGCCCTCGGAGATGCCGGCGCCGGAGCTCAGCGGAGGGGAGTCCGACCATAGGTGTCCTTTTTGTTTGGTTTGGTAGAAAATAAATGCCGATTCCTGGTTTACCTGGTGGTTTAATCATCTACCAGGGCCATCAATTTACCCTGAAAGGACACCTATGATTCCAACCCCCCCTCACTGCCAGACTTAACTCCCATGCGAGCGCTTTTTGAACCTTGTGACATTGTGGGTTTCCTTGATTGTCCATGTTTCGCTATGAATTCCAATAGGGAGCCTCGAAATTGGTTGGTGGACATGAACCCCCACCTTACTTGCTGCGATAGGGAATGTGGTTGAATGAGCCCAGACTTTGGTCCTTAAAGAAAGCCACCAATTGGATTAGTTATCAAAATCATTCCACCAACAAGTTTTTTTGTGTCTTGAGCTTTGCGCTCCCTAAGTTCCGTTTCGGACTGAAGTCACTTTTTGAGTTTAGAGCACTTGTGTGGCACTCAACCAGTTTATATCTTGTTTGGGCACATCCACTCAAGAAGTGAGGTTTTAGACATCACCCTGTTCCTTCCCAGGTCAGTTTAGGGTGATGTTTGAAGAACACGTATAGATAATCCTGAGGTTGGGGTTCAGTGGGAGTCAGTGGGGATTGGGATGGACTTGCGGAAATTTCGAGGGAAAGCGGGCCATTCCCGATCGTATGGTTTGAGCCACTTTGTTAGGTGGCTTGACCGGATATGTTGCAAGGTTAAGCAAGGCTCCTTAAAATATACATTTCAAACATGGCTTTTTCCACCAAAATAAAGGGACACCACCATTTACAAGGCAATGTTCAGGTGCATAATGTAAGGATCAAAGAGCAAAGAGAAACTCCAGGCTAGGTCGCCAGAGACTTGGTAAGCAGACATTTGGCCGCTTTGAGTAGCTCTTTCGAGGGGCTTGTCTGTGTAGAATGTGTGTCATATTATTTACGTTTTTTCCCCGTGTCTTTTGTTTGCCAGAAAGCAGGCAAGCAAGCAATCAAGCAAGCACCCACCGAACACCCATCTCAACCACCCTACACCAATTCTAAACCTGCCCTACGCCTCCGCAAGCCCTAAACCCGGAACCCACCTGAAACCCACCACCCTAAACTCACCCTAAACTCACCCCCACGAACGTTGAAGGACAAATGCTCCCAAAAACAAAAGGCGGCCTCTTAGAGCCCCCTTGTTTAGAAGAATGCAATGTCCCTTAGAATTGCAGGGTTCCTTTGAAGTAAGGCCACTTTATTCTTGATCATATAAGTTCTAGATCACATCGCTCCCGCGACGAACCAGCTTCTGGCAATACTGTCGGTTCTCGGAGAACAAGCAGGGCCTTGTCCGACTGCGATGGGCATTTTCGGTACGAATTCTGGAGTTTGGGCTGGTGCACTTCGGCGAGATTGCCAAGAGTGCTTTCGGTGCAGAGAATCATTTGAAACGTGTCTATGGGTCGAAATTAAACCACCGGGAATTGGACCGCGGGTTTTAGTCTTTGGCTCCATTTACCAGGGTTCCATTTTGGGTACCTATTTTGACCCACACTCACGTGACCGCGACCAAAACACGAACACTTTCTGCTGGTTTCTTGGTGGTGACAGTCTGGCGAGGACACGTGACGCTCCATGCATCTCAGAGCACCAGCCTTCCGCACTATTTGAACAGTTCGTATGGTGTGCCCACATGTTGAATTTTCTTTGGAGTAGCTTCGACAAACCGGCGCAAGAAGCAGGCGACGCTTTATTTGCTTTTTGCGGAAAGACACTGCCTTCTTCGAGCTCTAATACTGACAGCCCTTGAAATGCAAGCGACGGGGACATCGGCCAAGGCGACAAACACGATGTGGGGCAATCATGTAGGAAGGACACGCCTATTAAGCATGAAAGCACAAGAGAAAGGGGGCCCAAGCAATATGTTTGCAATAGCCAAAGCATGAAATAAAAGCCGTCGCTCTCCTTCTTCATATTTCTGTTCAACGGCCCCAAAGACCGGATCTCGCCTCAGCTTGCCGATTCTCAGTCTCTACAAGCCACTGCTCGTGGTTTTCAAGGGACTCCCTTTGTTCATTCCCAAACCCCTTGGGGATTCTCTCCTTTGGTGTTTGAGCAGGTGGTACGCCACCTGGACTATATCTCACTCGCAATTGTTTAGCGAAGTTTATCATGGGAACCTTGAATGAATAAATGTTTGGTCGATTAATAGTGGGTGTCCCCTTTTCAGTGCGGACTCATCACTCTTGGAGGGGCCTCACCTTATATGAGTAAAACCACTTTCTTTCTTTTTTTTTGGCGGGGTCAACATGAAGTGGGACAACTCAAATGGCAGATTCCGGGTTGACCAGAATGACTCAACGTGGTGGCTCCCAGCCATCCCCTTAGCTTTTTAGAGATCTTTTGCGTCTTTCGTGGTACACCCACTAAGAATAGGTCAGTTTTACCAGGGCATCAGAAAAGACGGGCAGCCAAGCCAAACGGATTCACTCGGTCACGAGCCACTCGGCCGAGAGGTATCAGGCTGAGCGGATCTGCTAGGTGCCCAGTAAGTGGGACAACTCAAATGGCAGACCCCGGGTTGACCAGAATGACTCAAATGGATCAGTCAAACCTAGTTGCCACCCACTCACGCCGAGAGAGAGCCGGGCTGAGCGGATCTGCTAGGTGCCCACGGAGATGCCCACCTCTCCTGCCTCCTCTGCTGGCCTGGGGCCCCCGACCCTGGAGGCTCGCGCTTCGCTCGCGCCTTTCGGGGAGGCGTCCGTTGGGCTTGTGACGGTTTTTTGCGCATGGTTCGGGGGCATGGGCCTTGTTGTTTTGTTTGAGGTAGCGGGGTGGCAAAGGAAGGGTTGAACCCACCGAACATGGCCACAAGTGGTTGCAGGAAGTGGCAGACACACGGTGTGGTGTTCGCATTGTGAGGGAAACCCAAAAGAAGCTGAAGGAAAAAGCCGGCCATGTTTGGTGGTGTCCTTATTTCTCAGTCGCCAACATGCGCGCCAGTTGGGCCATTTTGGGTTCCCATGTTCAGTCTTAAGGTCCCAAAGGGTGACTGGACGCGTTCATGCGTGAGCAGGGGCCCTCATTCAGATTCAGGGAAGATGGGATGCAGGTTTCTTTCGCACTGAGAGAGCCATTTAATGGACTTGCCCAGTGCGATTCCACTTTCCAAAGAGGGCGGAGGAGCGGAAGGAGGAGGGTGACAGATGGTCGACGAGGAGTAAAAGGCGGCTCCACCTCTTGAGTGGGAAACACAGTGCAACTTGCCCGACGCGGCGGAATGGCAAGCGCCGCTGGATGAAGAATGGCTCCTGAAGTTTGAGCCAAGCTTCAGGCCAAGAAGGAGCGATCCAACTTGGGAAGGTGAGCAATCTTCGAAGATGTAGTCACGGTACGGCTGGAATACGACATCCAGGATGCCCGCACAGAATCGACAGAATGTCCAGGTCCTGTGGGCGAGCGAGTTAAGCAAGGTACCCGCGCGTTTGGGGGACCCGCTCTAATTTGCGGCCAAAGGTACGCTTGGTTGAACAGCTGTGGCTTGCGTCCATGTTCAAACCATAGGTTGGGGCGGTCTAGTCAAGCACCGAGTCGGGTTTGCCCAGCGCAACAAGGAATGAGTGATCACCCAGTGATTGTTTTTATTCAAGGAGAGAACACCTGAGGCCCAAGCAGGGTTGTAGGAAGCTAAGTTTGCCCCAAGTTTCTGTACCGGAAGTCCAAAATTTGGGAAATCACAAATGGGCAAGTCTCACGTTGGACAGAAAGGGTCATTCTCTTTTTTGAATATGCATGTTCACAAATGGGCACTGTGAGGATAAACCGTTCCCTCTCTCAAGGGTCTACGCTCCTAGACCACCCCTCGGAAGCTTGAGGGATCCAAGTGATATATCAGAGATTGCTGAAATCAGGTGAGCCACGTGCTCAAAACCCGGGTAGCTGAAGGTTAGTAAGGGACAATCCCCTTGCCATAAGTAGCTGCGGAATTCCGCCTTCTTAATTCTTGAAGCATGGTTCTGGGATTCCGACCATTTTAATAACGGGTTTTGATTATGACTCAGGTCGAGTGGGACCTCGAAGTCACGGGGAAGTCTCTTGGTCAGCCCAACCGATCCCATGGCCAGGACTGTTCTGACTTTTGATTCGCATTCTCCCGGCCCACCTGGACATGGAGCCCCAATGGCCCGTGAACTCTCCAACACACTTTATCTATTGGGCATGCTCGCTGAGTGCTGACTATGCCTGAACACCACCTTTGCCTGTTGACTCTATTTCGGAAAAGAAACAGCACAACAGGGACTCGGGCGCCCCTTCTGGAAGTGTAGAAATGGGTCCCTTGAGTTTTCTGAACCGGATAGCACTGGTAAACCCTGCCTCTACCTGTTCACCGTTCTTCTGAGGCACATGGTTTCTGTGCCTGCAATATAGCCACAGAGGCCTTAATACAGAATGGACACATAGGTGGACCCTTGATTAAGACCAAGGTGCCCATTGAAAGACACCTTCACTTGCCCTTTCTGAGGTCCTGGGACTCACCATAGGTGTGATTCTATATTCTATGATTTCTACGTTTATTTATTTATTCTGCATCTACGTTTTTTTTTGGCGTGGGGGGGAGAAAATTGTTTTGGCCCCATTCTTGGGGGTCGCCTTTTTTTGTGAGGTCCCGATTTTTGGAGGATCCCTTTTGGCCCTTTGTGTCTTCCCCAAGTCCAAGGGGCCGAGTGCTGAGAGAAAAACATCTCAGGCGCCCACGGGCCCGGAACATCTCGACAGCGCCGCCTTCTCAGGCCGGCGGGTGGGGATTTTCCTTTTGGGACCGGGGCCCGACGTGGAAAACATGCGCTTTTTTTTGGGTTGCCTAAGCCGCCAAACAGATTCGGGTACTCTCAAAAAAGAACAGCCAAGGGGAGGTGTCTGGGAATCTCTCTCTCTCTCTCTCTCTCTCCATAGGTAAATAAGTAACCACGTCAAGTGCCCTTCAGTGAAGGGCACTAAAAATATGCTTATATATATATATATATAGGGTGCAGCGATTCAACTTAGGCCGGGATTTTGGGCGTCAGACTGCCCCCAGGAAAAAGTGACTGGATCCCAGTTGACTCGAGGCGCCAAAAAACACTACTCCAGCACGTGGCCAAACAAGAGCTAGGAGCAACAGCCGAGGGGCTGGTCTCCTTGGGTTGGCCTCAGATTCTCGGCATGGCATGGTTTGGGTCGGGGATCAGGAGCCATTTGCAGCCTAGCCACGTCCAGCTTAGCATGCTCGATGTTTTTAGAAGGTGTTTTTAGGTTTGCCCCTGACACGATGGGCACCGGGAGCCAATTTTCCTCAAGCCACGTCAATGTTCCCTCTCCCTGCGCGGAGCAGGAAGCAAGACACTGTCACACATCTACCCAGTGGCCCCTCGCGCAGGCGGTGGGTTGTATTTTGGCTTCCATTTGCTTACGAATATACTTTCATTTTCCCCTGTTGGTTTTAAAGTGAATCTATCACTACTGGACGTTGTTTTTTCTTACCCAAATGGAAGTTGCGTAAAGGGCGGCAGCCCTTGCAGCCAGGTGAGCCGGAGCTGGACGCAGGGCGCCCCGGGTTTTTCTTTGGGTGAAGGCCGCGGTCGCGGGTTTGGACGGGGCCCCAAGTTGACGTGAGCTCAAGAATTTCGGGGGGAGAGGGGGTCCATGGCTTGACCACCCCCAAAATTCAGGCCTGGCTATATCCATTTGTTTCAACCTTACCTTTGGCTTTTCGTGGATCAAAGGTGGAGCCGTTCTCGGTTTTTAGGCTTTAGTTGGGTTCGTGGGGGTTGCAATTTGGCCCACTACAAGTTGTTTTTCTTCTTGACTTTTGGAGCAGGGATCTGAGGACAGCCCAGTTAAGTTGGGCGTAATCATGGTAAGGGGACAATTACCCCAGTCGCCCCCCAACAAAAATATCAGACAGCAATAGGTGATAATAATATACAAAAAGCGTCCGTGGCCAACTGCGCGGGAGAGTGAGGAAGAACTTCCGGTGCCAGAGCAATCAGGCGCGCGCTTCTTTCCCGGGCCTTGATGTGGGTGGCTTCTTCTTTGGCTCGGTACCCTTTTGAGGTGGTTGGAATGTGGTTGGAATACGGAAGGGAACCCCTCAAAAGTCGATGGTGGACATAAATCCCAACCTAAATGATGTCCAACGAACAATCCCCCAGTTAAAAGTCGAAGCCATATGTTGACCGCTATGGTCTCAGAATGTGCAAACAGACCGCCAAGCTTCGGGTTTGGTGTCAGATCAATTTCCGAGTTTCCTGTGATCCCTTCTGGGTGATTTTGCGTTGTGCGGGAGCCCGGTTCCTCCTAGGGACACTCAGTGAACCGGGACTCGCTCCCTCTATGGAACCTCAAAACGCCTTGGGCGCCTGATTAGCGTGTTCACTGTGAGCCACACATCAGCCTCTCAAATTTGGGTCTGGGGTCCAAAGTTTCTGAGCCGTTCGCAGACCGGGTCCCAAGTCATCAGGTGGCCTTATGCCCCTGACCGCCTCAAAGAGTGGGACCCCTGGGTTTGGCCTTTGGCCTTTTGAGCCCTGTCTGAACTCTTCCAGGGTGGGTTCTTGGGGGGCCAAGTAAGGCCTTCTCAACTGGGGTCTTCGAGGCTGTGATCTTGTGGATGGACCAAATTCGGCACCAGTAGACAAGTGTATTTTCCCAGTTTTCACACCATTTCATCCATGCCAACTCCAACTGGTGGATCGTCCAATTGCTTAAGATGTAGTTTTTCAGTTTCCCAGGGGGCTTGAGCAAATGGAGGGATGCCGTCCATCCACAAAAACGGTGTCCGGGTGAAATCCAACTTCCATCGCTTTGTGCCAGCTCTCATGTCGTCTGCGCCATCCCCAGCGTCGCCCTCGGAGATGCCGGTGGGGGCACCTGGTCCGGGGGGGCGGCTGATGGGGGGGCGGGGGGATATTTGGCTTGCTGGTTGGATAGGCAGCTGAGTGGGTCATTCCTTTCCTGGCGAGCGCCCAAGACCTCGACTGGCCATTTTAGTAGGTGGTTCTACTTACCTGGTTTAACAGGGGTTATGCCAGGGCCCATGCATGGGTGTGTTCTTTTTTAGGGAGACACACCCCTCTAAGCCATGTTCATGTTGGTAGAGCCAAAAAGTCAGCTCGGGTGTTGGGCTCTGCTCTTTTGCAATTTCAGGGGCTATTGCAGTGGCTGCATGTCGAGGCTGCTCAAAATTGTGTTTGGGGGATCCCTTGAAGCACGCATTTAGTGGGTAGTGTTGAGAGGATATCACTGTATTGGCCCCAGCACTTGGCAGCGCATGACCTCCATCTCAGAAAAGTCGGTTTGAGAAACGAATACACATCCAAGGCCATCTATGAACAGACATCAACTTTGGCCAGACTCAAGCCTTGGACACTTTTCATTGACTACGTCGTGTCAAAATCCAGATTAGTTTCTATATGGGGACTCCCTTTCTTGGGATCCTTTTTGACACTGCATTTAACATATCTGCCACTGGACGAGTCTGCCATTCAGCGATGGCAGGGATCACAGCAATCACAGGGTGTGTCAACATCGGGCGGTTCTGCTGTTCCTTCGTTGTTGTTCTGGTTCAGAAGATAATCGGGATCCAATACTAAGCAGTCCTAAATTCTGACGAGGGCCTCCGGGACAATTTATAGAGAAACAGCGGTCCATCGGGACCTGGTGAAGGAAGCACGAAATCCTTAAGCCACACATCAGTTTCAAGCCAAGACAGAGAAGGCTACAAACATATCCAAAGCAACAGTCATAATGTTACACCCGAATTAATGAAAGTCGCCGCTATTGTAAAACGTAATTTTGCAATTCAGGATCCTGAGACTGTTTTAGGGGTCCGCTATTGTTGCAAGTTGTTTTCCCCTCCCCAACAAAAATCAAAAAAAGTACAGGCTTGTTTGTTTTCAACTCTCTGGTCTGGGCAGGCTCAGGTCGGGCTCAAGCTAGACTAAGCCTTAGCTGATGTTGAGCTTGAAGGCTGGTTCTGAGCTAGACTGAGGTCTAGGAAATCCATTTGCAAGTTGTGCCCAAACCATCAAATTTATGATAACTTCTTTACACAAAAGCAAGGTGAATCAATCACACAAAGGGGGTTGCCCACAACCAACCCTGATCCTCTTTAGTGTGATTGCTTTGGGGTCCTCTTTAGTGTTCAACTGGTTTTGGGGGGGTTCCTGAAATTCCCAAACCAAAGCCTGAGCCTTTTACTTTTAAGGGTGGCTCATCCTAAGCTCTCCCCAGCCCAAAGGTAAAAGGCCTGAGGTCTAGGAAATCCATTTTGCAAGTTGTGCCCAAACCATCAAATTTATGATAACTTCTTTACACAAAAGCAAGGTGAATCAATCACACAAAGGGGGTTGCCCACAACCAACCCTGATCCTCTTTAGTGTGATTGCTTTGGGGTCCTCTTTAGTGTTCAACTGGTTTTGGGAGAAATCTCAAAAGGAAGCTCCAGCAATACTAAATCAAATGGAAACTCAATTCCAAAATCTCAAAAGGAAGCTCCGGCAATACTAAATCAAATGGAAACTCAATTCCAAAATCTCAAAAGGAAGCTCCGGCAATACTAAATCAAAAAGAAACTCAATTCCAAAATCTCAAAAGGAAGCTCCGGCAATACTAAATCAAATGGAAACTCAGTTCCAAATCTCAAAAGGAAGCTCCAAGCAATACTAAATCAAATGGAAACTCAGTTCCAGATCTCAAAAAGGAAGCTCCAAGCAATACTAAATCAAATGGAAACTCAGTTCCAGATCTCAAAAGGAAGCTCCAGCAATACTAAATCAAATGGAAACTCAAGTTTACCAATACTAAATCAATTTGAAAGTCCCACCCAGACCCCCAGGGTTTGCCTAAACAGGGTCCCGCTGACTGGTTCCATTGTTCAGGGGGGGGGATCATATTAAAGCTGGTCCAACATTAGGTTTCAAGCCCAAGCGCCCAAGCGCTCAGATTTTCACAGCAGCCAAAACTTCTCAGACTTTCGCCGCTTGAGGTGCCCACGGAGATGCCGTCCCCCGTGAGGCTGCGGGGTCCTGAGGAGCCGACCCTGGAGGCCTGGCTCGGGACCCATCTCGGGGTGAAGGGGCACCAAGAGGTTTCCCCGTTGGATCCAATTGCTTCTTTTGGGAATCCGTGCCCTTTCATACCGGAAGGAGTCTGCTTCCAGTTCGAAAATGGGGGTCGGCCATGACCCCTTGCTTTTCGGTGACTAGATTTTGGTCAACGGTCGGTACCATCAGTGTCCCTTTTTCCGACTTGTTTTTGGATGGCGTCCCCTTGCACATCAGCCAAGAAACGAGTGCCCTTGTTGTGCCATGACTGGGGCTCGCTCCCATCTGATGATAGTAGAAAACCATGAGATTTGCATCTCAGGTTTGAGCTGTGATCTATCATCTTTTCGACCATCCATGAACCCTGAGTGAGCCTGAGTGCGTGTGTCCTTTTTGGGTTGGCCCTTGGGACATGCTGTGAAGCGTACCAATTTCGAGGTCCCATTTCGACGTCTACCGATTAGTTGGACCAACTGGTCCGCTGCTGGGGAACCGACAGGAGTTGCTGCACCTCTTTTGAAGCAAAGCAAAGCAAAACCACCGGGGTGGGCCATTTTTTGCGTTTGACTGTCAAATTGGCGGGCGGCTTCGGCTTCGGTTTTCCGTTTTGCTTCCCTCGAACGCCACCCGAAAAGCGTACCCTCGACAGCAGGCATGCCCATTTTTATATGTCGACAGGTGCCCACTGCCAGCCGCGAGGCACTGACAGGCTCATTCGGGGTGAGGGTTGGGGATGCAAGCCAAGCACTTTACAGCTGGTTGTGGATCAAAGCCGTTTTGTTTTTTTTTTTTGGTGAATTCAGCACCCATTTTGGAACCTACTTTAGTGGTTGGATTGGGATGTTCACTGGTACGATTTGGATTTTGACCCATGGCCATTCCACGTTGCCACGGAAGCGAAAGTTTCGGAGTCGGTTCTTTGGAGGTTCCTTTGTAGGGGCCCTAAGGGATCTTAGTGGACAGGGTGCTTTCCGGGAAGACAAGGAAACATGAGTGGCAGACAAGCAAGTTTCTGGACTTTCAACTTTTTACTGGAGCCATTTGTTCTTGTCAATCCAAATGAAGCAGAGGTTGGACCATGCCTTTGAAGTAGACTACAACCATATAAGAGGAGCAACTGCGGCTTGTCGCCTTATCACACGCTTATTGCCTACTTCGTGAGTAGCTTGAGCACCCAAGTCTTGGACAGTGTCCAACTTGATTTCCTCAAAAGGAGGGCTCCAGATCGGCCAGTTGGTCAGAAACAGGGGACGTGTTTTTCCTTGTTTTTTTTGTTTTCCGGTTTCTCGTAATAGGGTTGACAAACAAAGAGATGCGTCCGCGGAACAAGCAGGGAACGGGGCGTGCGTTAAGATCGATGGTTGGGACCCAATGAGCTCTTTGGATGTGGACGGCTGGCGCCAGATGTCGGAATGGAAGCGAACAAAGCAGCTCACTTCCACCAGGTTTTGGACATCGGTCTGTTTGAAAGATCGTTTTGTGGCAACCTTACTCCCTGAGTGAGTTCGTAGAATTCATACTTTGTTTCTTTTAGTGGCAAAGAACAGTTTGGGCTTGGCCAAACCGATCTGCTCAAGCCGAAAGTGAGTGACATGTGGTCTGGTAAGCAAGAAGTCTGAATGTTGTCAAACCAATCCGCTCACAACCCCACTGCTTCCAGTTACCACTATGTCACTATAATAGGTAAACGGGGTTTCTCTTCTCTATATTTCATGTTCGTATTTTACGTGAGTGCCCCCTGGCTACCCAAGTGGTAAGTGGAAGCACTCACACAGTGAGGCGAATTCTTTGGGATCCAAGCGCAACCCGAAAACCCGAACCAGCCGACGGCAGGGGAAGTGCGGGTGCTCGGTTTGGATCAACCTTTGGGGGTGCGGCGGGGCTATCTTGGGGTCTCAGAAAACGGGTGTGTTTGTTTTGAAAATTGCCCCTTCTGGGTTGGTTGAAAGAGAGGCCAAAGAGAAAGCCGCCCATGTTAGGGGTGCCCTCCAAAAAGAGTTACTTCCATTTGCTTCAGAATTTGTTGTTTTTCCCTCTGTTTTTTTTTTTGTCTATCACTATTGCACATGATCTTTTTCCCCAGAAGCTTAAGCAAATGGAGGGTTGAGTGTTGAAGTTGACCAACTGTGAAATAGAATCTGAAAAACATGTTTTTCTCTCCGTCTCTTTTGTGGGCCAAGTGAAAGGGAAACCGGACAAGAATATGAAAGTATCCAGCAAAACGCGCGAAATGTTCCCACGGAAACCAACGTGACGTACCTGTTTCCAGGTGCTTTGGCTGGCTGAGCAACCACAAACCAACCAGCAAATGAACAAATTGCAAGGGTCCACACCCCAACCAGTTGCCGAATGTTGCTGAACTTGGAGAACTCGCGTTCAACTGCTGAAAAGCACCGCTGCCAATCTTGGCCAATCTCGGGGTAAACTTTCCAAATGATTTCCTTTTAGTTGTCCTGGAAAGCCAAGACAAAGGGGTACCCTTCAAAATTTTCACACACCCACTTCAGCAAGGCCTGTGTCATGGCGATAAACTTTCATTGAGGCCGGGGGTCTTACGACTCAAGGCTCAAGATAGCTGAACCACAACATGGTTAAAGGCTATTTGTTGCCTTTTTATCAATTTTCTACTAGCTTACCAAGGCGATCATTCTTTCTGGTGATATGTGGGGCATTGTGTTTATTCAGCTGGCTAAACTCGGCAATGATCAAGAAGGCAAAATTGAAATAGACGGCATTGACGCGCAACAATGTTCGTCGGCGAGACCTTGCATTCCCCGTGTTTCGTGCAGTTTGTTTTTGGCATGGATACATTCAGC